GTCCTGCCGCTCCCCTCCCCCTTTTCCTCTTTGCTACCAAAACAAATCCACCAAAGCTTCTAAAGGGAGAGAGAGAGAAATGGAACAGGGCATTGATGACAGTGCAATTTCATCTGGGAGAGGAAGAGAGAGAGAGAGAGAGAATCACCAAACAACAGTTATTGGGTCTGCTAAACCACTTGTCTAGAAGCCGAAGAATCAAACTGCATATGCATGCTCCTTTCAGGCCATTGGGTTTGATTTTTTTTCTAATTTCTAACAATAACCCGCAACAACACAATTTGCTGTGCTTTAAAAGCCGTATTATTAGAGGGGAGGAATAAGAATAACAATAAATAATAATCAGAACAAAGCAGCACACCGAACAAGTCCGCTTCCCCTCCCCCTCCAGTAAATACATGTCTGGCCCCTGGTTGGGTTTGTTTTGTAGTGGCTGAAAAATAATCATGTTGGGGCGAGTATCCAATAAACAAGGCGCTTTAAAAAATAATATTTGTAATATTGACCTTTCTGCACTCAACCTGACGTTTACACTCTAATCATCTCTGTGTTCACCAGAGCGAATCAACCCAAAATGTAGTGATTTTTTTAAAGAGGCGGAATAAATACTATTACCAGCGACATTGCTGTCCTCACGTTGTGGTGTATTGCACCATATACAGCCGCTGTCAGAAGTGGACTTTGCATGGGTGGAGGAGGATTTTTAAAAAAACTCGCTTGATGGACAGACAGACAGAGAGATAGATTAGATGTGATGATAGTACCGTATCGAACTTTATGCGAAGTGAAAACAGCATTGCAAACTGCTTTTCTCCCCTGATTTGCTTACATTACGATTCTCCCCTCCATTAAATGGTTAAAAGCAATTAAAAGCCTGCCCCGGAACAAGCTGAAACATAAAAATATCGACGGGTTTATTACTCTTCCTAAAACGCGAGGGTTTTCTTTATGAATAACAGGAATTCCTTCTCATCTAAAATGGTCGTTAAAACCCACAAACTGTAAATGAATCTAGACACACTCGTCTGTTAGCTAAAGCCCGGAACCGTTCTTCCAAGCGGTCCCTTGGACGTGTCTTTCTACGGGAGAGTGCTGCTCCCAGAAGTTCTCTTTCCAGACTGCAGAATTTGTGCATTTGTTGTCCTCGTATTGACCCTGCAGCCTATGCGACCAGACAGCGAATAGATTATATTGTCCTTTCTCTACAATGTTCCGAAAAGGAGGATTTGAGGGATAGCTCCTGAATCAAAGGTAGGGAGTTAAAGCACAATGTGTGGAAGTTATACTCAGCGACGCTGTCTGCCTCGGGAAAAATCGAATAATCATGAACTCTGGTAGCCAAATATGCTTACTTATTTAGACCATTTTTCAGCAGAAGAGTTTAAAAGAAGATTCTGACTCTGAGAAAGGACGAGCCCCCTCCCCCGCAAAGGTCCGAGAAAAATACCGTGGTAAATGCATTGCATAGAAAAACAATGTTAACATATCCAAAATGCCTACCTTTTTCTTTCTTTCTTTCTTTCTTATTCACAGATCACCCTGCTGCTGTGTTCTGGCTCTGCGGCGTCAAGTGGCTGCATTGGGACAGTTCGGGGAGAATTCGTTAATTCCAGCCGGAGACCCCGCAGGCTGGACTCACTTTGCTATTCTTTCAGGGCTCCAGTTCTACTCTCTCTGCAGGAAACAGAGGAGCTGATCCAAGTTCAAAGTCATGTCGCCGTCCCCTCTAAGAAGTGCTTTATTTCTCTACGAACCGCAAAACCCCTTTCCCCCGTGTCACAGGGTGAAAATGGTGCAATCGCTTTCAGGGGCATTGCCAGAAATGCAGACTTAAGCTCATTCTTTAGAGGGAAGAAAGCGGCCAGTCAAACTCCCTTCTAAACTGTTTTAGTGAAATAAGTTTTTCAACAGGTTTGTGGAAGTGCCCGCAGTGCAGTGCTGTCAGACCCGCAGAACAAACAGCCGCTTCACTGGGGAAACATATCCCTGTTTGTAAGTGTTACGTATTTCTCTTTAAATCTGCACAGCTCTTACTACTACCGATTGCTTATACAGCGAGGGTGCTAGCAAGGGATTTTTCCTAACTTCGTATATTGTCTTCGTCTTTTATAATCTTCTACTTCCGAGGTACCAACCTTTAAGAGAGCAGCTCACTGTTAGAATGTAAACTCAACTCGATTTTTTTCCACGAGATTGTTGTTTACATTGGAAGTGAGGAGTAATTGTATTATAAAAGTTGATATAGACCCGTGCATGGGTTGGTTGTATGAGGATGAATTTAAAGCTATATATATATAGAGAGAGAGAGAGAGACAGAGAGAGAGAGAGAGAGATCGCCTTTAATATTATATAATATTAGGGTTAAGAAAATAGAATGCATTATTTAAAATAGAGATAAGGTGCGCAAATTCAATACAAAATCCGAGCTTTGTTTCCTTATGGAGCACAAAGAAGGAGTGTAAAGGAGGGATGCTCTATTTAACCAGAAAAGAACAGAGCAATTTAACAGAATCACTTGCACCGTTGTCTGTATCACAGACACTCATAAATTCAACAAGATCATCAACAGGATATTAAGTTGCAGGTTACCTTTGATTTTGCCGATCCTAGCCACTTCTAGGCCGTTCGACCTATGACCCGTGAAGACCACATGTGTTGTGTTGTAGCCTCCCTCTGTAAAACACACTTTGGAACAAAAGTTCTTTGTCAGAGTTTAATAGAAGTGTAATGTAAAAGAAAAGGGAAATAATGAAAATCTCAGCCAAAGTTGTAACTTTTAAATGCCATTTCTTAAAACCCACTACAACCTATAGGGAACCTACAAAGGAGCACCTTTCTTTCATACCATTAACATTTATTGTTCTCTCAGCTGTACTTATAAAAAAGTTGCTATATAAAAATGAATTTGCCAGTGATTTAGCGATGCAGAGTACAGTGGGGTTTTTCTTTAAAGGGATGAAGAATCGGCCAAGTAACAGCGAATACTTGGACAATCTTTTAACAGTAGTTATTATGCTACTGCATCACACCGCAGGTTTATTTTTGTCACACCAGACACTCTGAATCTCCTACCAGCCTGCAGGAATATTTTTATAACAGTAAAAATAAAAAATCCAAACCCCACTAAAAGCAAGATGTTAAACACGAATGTGTAATTTTACTGACACACCTTTTTCAGATGGAGGTTGCCTTATAAATGCTAGTGACAGCAGAGCAGCTCTGCAATAAACTGCACTATTATTGCGATAGACTTTGTAATACAATTTATGCTGTCATTCATAAATAACAATGCCATATGGTAACCATATTGCTTATACAAGTAAAGCCGTCAAAATGTCACCATTTGATTTATCTCAACAGCTTCTTCAAACGTTGATGTACAGATACAGAGAAAATACGCCCAAATTTGAACTAAAATTAATAAACACTGTGTCATGTAAAGCACTCTTTACTATTTAAGAAAAGTCTTAGGGGATATATCGGACTATTAGAACTATTACATGGATTTACTAATTGCTAGTGTATTGAAAAGGACTGCTTTTAAAGTTTTGTTGTCATATAAAAGTATATTTGAAATATAATTGTAGTTCATTCGCCATATTTTATATGATTCAGTGTCTTTACTTTTTTCAAACAATATTATCTGTCCTTTATCACAAAAGCATTGTGGACTAAATGGCTACTGTTCAATTAAATAAGTTCAATGTGTAATGTACCATGATGATGAC